CCCCCCCCCCCCAACTGCCATGTGCCACATTGCAGGGTGCCTTCATGCCAGGTCCTGTGCTACCCTGTACCTGTGCATCAGGTCCTGTGCCCCTGTGGTGGGTGCTGCACCACTCTGTGTCTTGTGCCACCTCATGCCTTTGTGCTGGGTCCTGTGCCACGATGGGTTCCATGCAGCTCCATGCCTTTGCACTGGATCCCTCACTGCCATATGCTTCACCAAATGGTTTCCTGCTGCCTCTTCTGACTGCAGGCCCTTTGTTTTCACTTGATTCCAACATGAGGCTTTGTTTTCCTCATTTTGAATGGGGAAACAAACCTCATCTTGGAGTTGAGTGAATACAGTAGATCCATTAGAACTACTAGATGCTGACCATTTCTGAAAAACCAATGGATTTATGTAGGTGTCTAGAGGAATATGTACTTGTGACAACTTTGAGGGCCTAGTCTTTGGGAAGGAGGGAAGCAGAGGAGTAGGGAGATATGTTCCTTCTCACCAAGGGTTGAAAGGCACTGCCTTTGCATCTAATTTTGTCAAAGCCCCTGTTGGAAAAAAAGTTGATACCTTTTTTGTAATGAGTTACAATGGTTAATAGGTAATAGTCATGTAGTAGCTGTGATGATCCAGAAAAAGTGAAAGGGGCAAAGCTTTTTGTGAGTGATATCTTTTACTGGGCTAACTATAGAATTGGGATGCAGATAAACAAGCTTTTGGGTTATGAAGTACCCTTCCAGACAGTTTTCCCTTGCCCTAGATGTGTTGTTTTTCCTCAGCGACCTGAGGAAGGTACTTCATACCCAAAAGTTTATCTGTATCCCACCCAACTATGCAGTTTGTCCATGCAGTTTCTCTTTAATATCTGTTAAGTTTTCTGTTTTGAGAGATGGAGTAGCTTCAGTTCTCGTCTGAATGCCTGCTCACATGTACATTCCATGCTTGTACATTCCTGTTCCTTAAATACTAAATTCAGTGATCTTTTTTGCCTTTTGGATCTGTACAATGCACATTTTCTGGCCTCTTATGCTTATTGCTGCGTGCAGTACATACTTCCCATTCCTTAGGCTTTTTTAGTTGCCTTGGCTCAAGATAGACCTTTTCCTGCCAGAACCAGTCCTTGTCTGAGACCCTTATCCCATTTTTGGGTCCATTGGCTCTGCTGAATGAAATTTCTTCATTGGACTTTTCTCTTAACTCTGTCAATGACACAGTTATGGGATCATGTGAGAAGCAGTGGACCACATGACAGCCTCGGGAAACATTCTGGTTTACAACTTGATGCCCTCAAGGATCCTTCCCTGCCTTTTAGACGTGTCCCTTCTGGCTCAGGGCTTCTCATCCAGGGAATGAATCCAGGGGCAAATTACACCAGCCAGGCTTCTGGTCTTCAGCCATATCACTTTGACTTCCCAAGTGCCCCTCTTCATGAGGCACAGGCCAGTGCAGGACCCAGCATGAAGCAGCTAGGGATCTGGGAATGCATTGCCCATTGTTCTGCATCAGGTAGGGGGCCCAAGGCAAGATAAAGGGCATTGTGCGTGTGTGTGTTGCCCAGTAAAACGGATTAGCTGTAGTGGAGCATGTACCACATCTGATCCACTTCAGTTGGGCAATGTCTTTTTCTACCCTTAGTGCTGTCATGCGCTCTCTCTCAGAGAAGTACCCCCTTTCTCTGAGGGGTCAGGGCCATTATCAGTCTCCTAACCAGGAACATTGCAATTCCCCAAGTGCCTAACCAAGGTTTTCTGTCCAGCAAGAGATTCCACACTCCAGCAAGATCTGAACCTAATACTTGCATCTCTCCTGGGTCCGTAACAACCTACTCTCTAATCTGCTCGTCTACAAAGATTGCTTAATGGGGTCACACCTGTCACCAGCCACTGATTGTGGGTTCTCCACTGAACTGTCTTATCCATACATGCCTGGGGACTCACTCTAAGCTTCTAACTAAGGTTTTCAGATTCCATCTTGTCAACAAACCTACCTCCTGCCCAGCCCTGAAACCTCTCCCCCAAAGAGTGACTTTTCATAGGCCTGACATAGAGAGAGGCCTGCCTTTTTACCTGCATAGAACTATAAGCTTTCATAACCATTTCCCACCTTTGAGAGACCTGCCCGTTCTTGGACTTTGTGCTGTGGATGTGACTAGATTCTAAATGAACTGATTTTTATTTGTGTGCATGTGTATGCCATCTTCTTTCTGTTCATGTGTACTCCATTGGAAAGATCTTGCTTAATTACGTTCACATATGATAGTTTAATAATAACTATATTGTTGGCAATGTTTTGATGGCATAGAAACTTAGAAGGGAACTGTATTTTTAAAAACTTGAAGTTGTTTTGTTACATTTTCTGTGAAAAGGCATTCAAGACAAACAGCCTTCATGTATTAAAAAGTGCTGTGTTATACTAAATGCAGCCTGCAGTGTCCTAATGAGATTCTAGCCCAAGCAGCTAAGAAGGTACGATCTTAAGCTTTGCGCTGAAGTATGGTGAGCAGTAATTGCTATCTGAAGTTTAATATTCTTCACAGTTTAAACATGTTGTACCAGTGAGCATATTTCTGGTTATAAGCCAATTTTTTTCTTCTGAAATCTTGATTTCTTAAGTTGTTTCAGTAAAATAAAAGGGGGAAGGACAAATCCAAATAAAACTGTTTCTTGATGTGTTTATATAAGAGGCCCCAGGAAGTGCTGTTTATGAGTTCCAGGCCACAGACTGAAACTGATTTTCATCAACACAAAGTGGAATGCAGCGTAATGAGCCTGCAACTGGTTAAAATCAGACCACTTCTAATTGATTATGCCTGTCTAAAGGAGATACAATTACAAAGACATTTTCAGAGTGCAACCATGCCTAGTCTTTTCCTATGTTACATATATTTCTGTCAATGATTTGTTGTCTTTAATTAATAAAATCTGTCATTTAAAGTCCAGCGTAGTCCATATGGAATTTGCTAAACAAATTCAAATCGATTTAAAGTGTAGGACAGGGAAGTGAGGCAGTGGCAAAGACTTAAAACTATCTTACTGCAAGAGAACATATACTGAGCTAAATATTTATCTTAAAAGACTAGTTATTCTATCTAACTACTTTCGACATAACTGTTATAGGATGCACATTATCAATATATAGAAATTTATGGCAGAAATCTGTATAGTTTAATCTCTATGATCCGTACACACAAAGAACCTTCTTTGGCATATGTCATAACAAATCATATACAGTAGTCATTTTCTTGAAGCATATCTGGCCATTGTTCATTTACTTTCCAGGATGAAAGTTCTTATATTCCTGAAGCAGTATGTGAAATTTTGATGCTGTGAGCTAGCTTTTGGTACACTTCTGGACTTCATTGCTGAAGCTCCACCTAACCTAGAGATAATGCAAACTTGCAAGAAAAGTGTTAGCCTTTACTTTTCTTAGAAGATTTAACTGCAGCAGAAACTGGTTCTTCCCAGATTTTGGAGAAGCATTGGAACTCAATAGACATAACTGTATTCTGCTAGAGAGCAAACAAGTATTCTTTTATCAAATAATACCCCCCCCCCACCTTCTGAAACCCTAAATAGATGGGAACAGTGGAGTGTCTGGAAAGTGCCGAAGCTTAAGGATCTTTTGTGCTTCTATGCTTCATATATTGGGAGAATTTTTAAGTGGAGAACAGGCCTCCATTAGTATTTCCTTAGTTTTGTATTCTTGCATGTCAGCTTTAATATGTGAACGTTAACTCTATTTGCTCTAAATGGTGGAGTTGTTGTTAGGAATAATAATATTGATGATGTTTATGGTGATGATAATTGTCATGTTGGAAATATCTTGTGGGCTGGAACTAACACAATTCTGAGAGAATGGACTCTATAGTTGTCAGAGTAGAAGTTAGTAGTGGCCTGTTTTCCCAGGCAATTAAGTACGACTCTGTACAAAGCCAATTAGGGGATCTCTTTAGCAGCTCCAGTTTCAAAAGGGTACTTTTCAGAGTAATATCACATTTAGTCTTAAAGTCAAAACTTACTAACACTAACAGGAGAGATTCAGGGATGTACTGATAGTTGCTCTCAACTCATGTCCAAAATTGCCTTGCATTTAATCTAGCCGGATCATAATGGATACCTGATCGGCTAAACTGTAGAGGTGTACACAGCTGTGCGTGATGCTAACCACATCATTCCCTTTTATACTGTTGCCTGTATAAAGTGGTGTGCCTTGATTAGACTTGCCCAAAGAGCCGTCTCTGGTGGATCTCTTTGGAGTAGGAATGATTGGGAAAATTATAAATTTACCTGAAGCTAAAATTCCAAAAATTCTGCCTTGCATAATAAGTTCTCCTTGTAATGTTAAAGTGGGGTAGGTCATTATTCTGTGTAGCACAGTCTTCTTGAGATTACAAAAAAATAACTCTTAACTTGTATGCTACCTTAAGCTTTTTATTCCTCACAACAAATGCATGTAGGTCTTACAGTTATTGTGACCTTACCTAATTGGAATTTTCAGCAGT